CTATTGGTTCATTCGTCATGAAATTTTGACACATTGTAAAGGGCAAGTGGAGTTGGGCCTAACATGGAGATACAAGGCTTCATCTCAACAGTGACGATATGCAAGACTGAATGTTGAGTGTAACATTGTAAAGGTCTGTACCTGTTAGTGGATAATGACTACATGCAGGAGAAAGCTGTTGGTGTATTTGTGTGTATTTTTCACTGATTCAAGATTGTGATTGAATAGTTAAATCAGGGCATTTGTCATCAAAAGTGTCAGCAGAAGTACACAATTAGGCTATATAGACTAAAGATATATGATCCCACAGAAGATTTAAAAATATAGAAAGTAACTAGATATTTGCTACAGATATCATCATCCAAAGTATGTATGATGCCAAATGATGTATGGTTAAATAACGCTTTGGTGCTTTGGTTGTGTTGTGTTCTGTTGTTTGTCTGTCCAAATTCATTTTTGTGAATTCTGTTTAAACACAGCCCCGTCTTACTTTTATGGCTTAACACTGATTCTCAGGGTTATTTTTTATTTGTTTGATTCAGGCTTAAGTTGTATCTCCTTCATAAAGGATTTGTGGAAATAAGTTACTACTTCTACTCTAAATTCTGGATAGCATTATATGGCTTGCACCTGTCCCCTGAACCCCACCTCCCTGCCGGCTCTCGCGGCCGTTATCGGGGCCTGGGGGACGGACACATGACACATTACTATGTACAAGGTCTAGTTCATTTGTTTATTATGTTGGGTAGGGATGTGAATGTATTTTCATCAGTGCGTTTGTCAGGACATTCTCATACTTGAAAGGTAAATCGGTTAGCATTGTGTCGTCTAGCTGGGATTTATATTTTTAACATATTTAGCATTGTTTTTATAGAAGGAGCGCTATTATTTATTTCATTATTTTGATGTACGTGCTGTATTGTTAATGAATGTTACCTAATTTAGTCAAATGTCAAATAGATATGAATAGTTTTATGGGTTTTATTTAGGATGGTGTGATGTGCTGTCCGACACTTGTTTGGAATCTGAAAATGTATATTCTGTATTAGCTATCTGACAGACGCAGTTCAGGTGTATCTTTGTTATAAATGAGTTGTATGTTTTGGTAGCTTTCGAGATTCGCTTAACAATGAATTTAGAAAAACTGAAGTTGTCTGTGTAATTTTGCATGGGTATAACGTACTTGGTGCATTGAGGAATACTAAAGTTTGAGAATCAGGGCTTTTGTTATTAAGTTTATTTTTGAACTCTGTGTTGGTCGGTTCTGTGTGATTTTGTGTCAAGTTATGATTTTATGGTCCTTTGGTACCTTTAACTGTGAGGCTCTTGTTCCGATTCCTCAAGGCAAAATATAGTTTGCATGAGAGTAGCTGTCTGATGTTCTGAGGCGCCTCTGAAGTGATCACCAGCAAGAGCTCTACCTGAATCACTGGGTTACTGATTTCTATTTTGAATCGAAGTATTTTAGGAGAGGATCAGTTGACCAGTTTTCTTCGAGGGCACTGGATGGTATCCTTATATTTTTACTTACAGTATCTCAGTATTTTTACAATTACTCAGTTGCAACCTACCACTGTACTTCGCTGGATATATATCAACCACTTCATAAAGGAGTACATAATGTATTGATGGTTGATTATAGACAGTGATCTAAAATCATGACTCAGAATGCAGATACTTTAGCATAGCTATTTATTTTGTGGATGGAATAGCGCAGTGTATATAGTTTAATCACCAGCCATCCGTACGGTGCGTTGTCTTCTCCGACTACTCATTACGTCTCAGCATTTCTCATTATGACTTAGATTCTATCCAAGACTCACATTAAGCAAAATTTGACCCATGTAAACAGAAGTAGGCTCTTCTTCTGTTATTTATATGACAGCTCATAGCTTGTAGATGCCTTTATAGGCCTTTTCCTTACAGCAGAACTCGACTGTCGATTGTCAAACACTTTGACTCAACTCAACAATGATGGTTGTCCAAGTTCTTCAGTTCAGAGCTGTCTTCCCTGAATGTAAGTAATCCCCAAAAGCAGTTTCAAGGGATTTGTATCTGAATTCCTGCTGAACGTACTAAACTGTGTAGGAGATTCACATGCTTGATTTTAATGTCAGATACGTGTTGAATCAGTTTGAGTTGATGTGTCCTTTTTTTGTTTACAATTTTATACATCATCTGAAGTTTTATTAATGAAAATATGTACTGTACAGGTTCCATTGATGAACAAGATACAAATGTACACATCAATGAATAATTTTGTATCTTTGTCATTTTAATACATTAAAAATGTTGTGACCGAAATGAAGAAAACTATATAAACATTTCATTTTCCTACAATTGTGAGTGACGAGTTTTCTTGAACATCACACAAAAATAGACAGTGATACATTGGATACTGTGAATCAGCAGTTGTTCCTCCTGGCCTTTAGGTGGTGCCATGTAACTTGTGCTTCTGCATTGAATATCTGGGTTATAGGATGGCTACGACTCAGACACCTTATACATTCACTTTAAAGAACTACAATGGAAAGTCATAGTCACCATTACAGAGCAGACATCATTGCCTCACTGGCATAATATCTAATGCAATTCTGAAATAAATGCAAGTTACAACATGTTCTGCAACAGAAACCATTCTGTGTTTGACAAACTACCACAAGGCATATGGCGTAATAATGGAAAGACATTCATTTTATGTATTTATGTTCCCCTTTTTCTAATCAGAGTTTGTCATCCTGTGGATTTGAGTTTAGGTACACAGATGTTCTAGTGGCCCATGCATGTCTAAGCATTGTGAATGATGGAGCTCTGGGCATGCTGCTACACAAGGTCATGATAAGTTCAACAGAATACTGCCTATTTAGGCTATAACTTCAACTCTTTTTCTTTGTAGCCTGTAATCAGGTTAAATATCCACAGTCAGAGATGTCAAGTTGATCCACGTCTCTGTATGCTTCAGTCAAATGGAATTAACATCAGTAACTGCCTCAGGCAAATGAAACATTTACATAATTCAACATCACAGTCACAATTCAGTCCTAGCCTGAGCTCTGTTCTGTTGAGCAGTGTAACATCAGCTGACTGACTAGCTTTTGGAGACTGCAAGTCTGTTTTCTAATCTCCATGAAACAAAGAAGACAGCACCGATGTTGAACAGGCTCTTGGCTAAAATTAGAGACGCTCATATTGTCTCACAGGCCAAACGAATGACGCATTCTCTCAATGGCAGCAAGTAATAGCATTAGCAAACAAGTATAGTAGCACAGTCTAGCACTAAAAACATGATCATAAAAAAGAAGAACTGAAAGTTTGACCTACATCTGTCTGTGTGCACAGGTACATCCTTCTTCCTTTTTTCATGCATCTGACTGACCCTGACAAAAAACTCAAACACAGCGAGCTGGGCATAAGCCAAACTACAGGGCCTCAGCAGCAGAATAGTTTAATGCTCTTATAATAGCACACAGCTATAAGAGCATTATCACTTGAAATTTAAATAGAATGGATCTCAAACAACACAATCTAATGTTGCATACACAAATGATGTTGAATGATGTGCATGCTATGGAAGTTTTTATAAACAATGTTGCTTTGCATTGAATAAAGCAAAGAGAATAAGTTGAGTGCACACAAGTAAGAGCTGTAGAAATAAGGCATTTCTATAAGATGTTGTGATTAACTGATATTATAAAATTCAATCTAGAAATGTTGTGAATACCCAAACACTCTTCAGTCAGATAAGGCAGACTACAAAGTTTCAGATTTCCTAACAATCTAGAACTGAATGATTCACAGAGTTATTGAATGTTCAAACTGGAAGGCTCACAATGTCATAAAGTACATTTCAGTGTGTAATCTACATTTACTAACAGGCAACAATGGTTTAAAAATGACAGTTCTGTAAATAATCACAATCTTTTAGTCATTGTGCATTTCTCTCTTGATATTTAGGCTTGATATGAAGGAACACCTTGATTGCACAGAGAATGGATTTGTCAGACATTTAAAGGGTGATGCCTTCTATTTGTATTAAACTCTGCCTATTCAGTCATGTACCACTGCTAAAATAAAAAAGAACTACTAGTTCACTTTATATAAAGAGTTACAAAATTCCTAACAAAATATGCTTTGGATCTACTATCTGACCACTATCTGACTAGTAGTGAATTGATTGGATAACAAACAGCTATTGGAGTCTTTTCTCCATATGAAAACATGGCTAATAAGCAGGCTATCACTAAAACATCAAGTAGATAACATATGTGGGATTCGTGTGAGGCAGTCCACCAACAGTGGACCCTTTTGTCCCACCATAAATGTTCAAAAAATACATGCACAGAATCTTAAAAATATTTTTTTACAAAAATGGTTCATGTGTTCTTTAATGGACATTTGCATTATTAGCCTTTTTTAAGTAATTTGAGTTCCAGTATCCGCACAATCCTGTTACCAGAACCTATTTACTCTGCTAAAGGAATCGAAAAAAATAGGCTAAATTTCATGATTAACAAGAAATCATTAAGAGCCTCTCTAAGAGCATGGCCAGGAGAAAAGTCATTCTCCACAGGATAAACAGGTTTCAGTAACAGGGATGCAGTTATATTGGGGGACATAACTTAGATGTATAACTATTATTAAGACTTTTTAATAGCTCTGTCTATTATTGCAAACGTATGGTGGGTAAAACAGATACTCTGTTGGTGGAATGTCTCATATAAAACCGCAGACTACACTCTCAGAAATAAAGGTACGAAACTGTGACTGGGGTCACTGGGCTGGTATCCTCAAGGGTACATCTCAGTACCTTTAGTAAGGGAACATAGTTCATTTTACCATAATCCACTGAAGTTGTACAGACTCCACACACCCCGTCTCGTCTCCAGACTTTTTATTTTATTGTTCTGTTTTAAAATGTTAGGTTATGAAAAGGTACAAATATGTACTTCTCACCTGGGAAAAACTTATTTAAGGTCCACAACTGGACCTTAAAACCACTGTTGTACCTTTAATGGTACTTTTACATTGTTTGTACCTTGATGAATGAAAAATATACCTGCGCAGTGCCTTTATTTCTAACAGTGTAGTCTCGGACTCCTCCCATGGCTACTAGCAGAGGGAGAAGCGGCGGGAGTTGATGTTCATCTTTGTGATGCCGAGGAGTTTGAGTGGTGCTGAAAGGCTGAATCCAGAAGCAACAGGACCGTCACAGAGCAGCTCCAGCATTTCATCCCGCTCTTCCAGTTCAAACGTGGCGTCGTTCAGCATCTTTCGATGCTGGTTACATGTCTGCTCAATTTTCAGCTTGTTAAGATCACTGTGCAGACGCATTAACTGGCGCGCTAGCTGCTGGTCCTGCACACGCATCTCTCTCTACAGTGAACAGTACAAAAAGAACAGCAACAGAAGACATGAAATGTAGTATATTTGAAAACCTGTAAATATTCTGAATTTGCAGAACACCATGGTTTACATGGTTTACAGGCCATGTGCTACCCTAGGAAGCATTTACAGGGTGCCAATAATGTCAAACACTGCTCCTACATAGTAACCCAGTACTTTTTTCACTCCCTGGTGGGCATCTTTACAACTTACTCAAAGAAGTGTTAATCTGATAGAGTGAACATCTCCCATTTAGTAAACAGTTATTGTTGTATTGTAACAGCCGCAGTATTGAATGTACCCTCTTCACATGCTTACATAGGGTGTGTTTTGGACCTTTTTATTTCACATACATGCAATTTGGCCTGCAAACATACTCACATTTTGTAACATCTAGCTTGTGTGGGTTCATGTCAGTTTCCTCCCTTTCAGTGATGCACACAAAAGCTACTTGAGTGCTAACTGATGCCCCTTGTGTGTATGTAAGTTCTAAAAACAAGACGGTATAACCAGCTCACCAGCTCTTTCTTGAGCCATTCCAGTGCCTCGCCAATACTTCCAAACCCCTTCAGGCTCTCAGAAGGATGTCTTTGCCCCTGGTGCATTGTAAAACTCAATGAGGACTTTGGCCACTTCAGAGAACTCCAAGCTCGTAGCTGCCCTTCTTTAGCAGCCACTGAGGCTTCCAGGCCTTTAACTCTGTGGGTTTCTAGCTGAGCCCTCCATTCTAAGTGCGAAGGCCTTCTTGGCTCCAGATGCAGCTTCTCAGCCAAAGCCTTCAAACTGGCAAGATGGTCATCCTGAGCCACTGCGACACAACTGTTCTTATCTGGATCATTTGTCATCGTCACTGTAGTGGGGGGGATTGGTATTGTCGTCATCGATAATCTGGCCAAAAAAGGCTTATGGAAATGTTTGGGGAAAAAAATGAAAAACGTTCAAAACACATTGATGTCCGCAATCAAAAATCAAAGATAATTACAGTTATCAGTATTGTTTGAATCACAAATGAAACTTACACATATTTTTCCAATTAGTATTTTTACTATGCATTCATACTCTAAGTTGCCAGTTTATTAGGTATTAGTGAATGATACATGACAGTTGGCACTTGGTGTGCTGGTTTCTGCATCTCTCAAAGCGCTATTGTTCTGGGCATTTCACACATAATTATTTCAGGAGCTTGCCAAGAACAGTGAGATAAGCAAGAAAGTACCACTGATTGGTGATCTAAGGGATGAAAAACAGCTTGTAGATCAGAGGGGTCAAAGAAAATGGCGAGAATGGTGCAAGCTGACAGGCCAGAACCATGCAAATCCTAATTCAATTTTGATGTTCTGAAAGCAGCACTTATTGGACTTTGGCTTTGTTAGAATAGAATGGAGTGAACAGCTGAAGACCATGTTGGGTGCTGTCTTCAGGGGAGCATTTACAGTAGGTACAGAAGTTGGCTGAATCCAGGTTCCTTTTGCATAATGCTGAAGGAAAGATCAACATTTAGTGCAAACGTTATGAGCACATAAAGTCATCCTGTTTGGCGTCAACAATACAAGTTGTGGCAGTGGGATGGTGTGTGGAATGCTCACCTGGCACACATGAGGTCACCTGATACCCACTAAAGCATATCTAAAGATTGCTGACCAAGTTGATCCCACTATCCACTACTCAGACGGATGTCACAAAGCATTTATTGTCAGTGAACGGTTCTAGAAACATGACAGCAACTTTCCATTTTCAGCCGCCAACTGAGCATTAAACCTATTGAGTGTCTTCGGAATCAGGTGGTAAGGTCTTTTTTGCAGCAAGACTGTGCAACTGTCCAATCCATAACAACTACACAATACCATCATTTCATAGTAGAATACTCCTGGACATCTAGCATCCTTAAGAGTCCATGCATAGGCACACTGGCACTTTTCTGAAGGCCAAAGAAAGTACAACATTTTCTAGATAGCTGTACTGAACAAACTGGCAACTCAGTGTATGCTCTAATGGTAAACTGTTAATGGCAACATATGCTGTATTTCTGCAGATATTTTAAAGAAAATGAAAACCTGAATGGATAACCTCAGATATTAATATTGGCTAGACACCTTTTGCTGCAATAATGGCTGTAGGTATTCGTGGTTAAGTATGTGACAGCTTTGCACATTGTTGTGGAGAGACTTCTCTCCATTTCTCTTGGGAGGTTAGAAGGAAGTTGTTTAGGTTGGTTGCATAATGCTTGTTGACAGCAATTTAAAAAAAAAGAAACACATTTTGAATGAGGCTGTGGTCAAGCATTTGATTAGGCCACTGTGGGATTTTTTTTTGTTTCTGAAACACACAAATGTTGCATTGTACTGTTGAAAGGTGGTTTCTCTCAAGCATCATTTACTGAGCAGAATGAAGCAGACTCTCTTGCAGTATTTCCTTGTATTATGCCATGTCCACTCTTCCTTCAGTTTTCCTTCCTGTCCCTGCTGATGAAAGGCATACTGCCACCACCATACTTCTCTGTTGGGATGGTATTTCTTGAGGCTTGGGCAGGGTTAAAACTGAGCCATGTATAACAGTTTGAAAAGCTCTATTTTGGCTTGTCAGACCACAAAACATTTTGCCACATTTGAACTGGGTCACTCTCATGCTTTCTGGCAAATCCCAGACATGCTCTCATATGTTTTTTATACAGTTTTTGCCCTGTCACTCTCCCACACAGGTCAGTTTTATGCAGAGCTCTTGATATGATAGACTGGTACATCATTAGACCACTTTCAACTGCTGCTCCTTTAAAGTTATTGTTTGCTTGTTTGTGGCTTCCCTCACATGTCTATGTTTTGTTCAGGTGCTGATTTTTGAGGGACGGCCTTCTTTAGATAATATCTGGGCTGGGTGATGCAGCTTCCACTTCATAATTATTGAAAAGTGCTCACTGGAAGATCCAAACATTTGGATATTATTTTGTGCCCTTTTTTGCCAATTTCAGCATTTGTATGACTTTATCTCTAACTTTGGTAGTATTCATTCTTGCATCTTTCCAAACAGGTTCACAGCTTGACCAATGAAGCTTAAACAAAGTGATCTTTTTATCTGTAAATTGTGGAAATTACTTGAAGGTAAAGTTTGTCCAACTAAGGAAAATTTGCTTTGGAATTGTATTTCATCTATGTAAGCTTAGAGTTTGCAGAGCACAAAGATTAGAATCCTTATACAAGCAGAGTTTTTTCAACGTTTTATTTCTTTTAAAAATCTGAGGCAAACCTAATTTGACTTTGATGTGGTACTATGCATATGAGCATATGAGTTCACAACAAAAATACTGATTTACAAAATATGTGTAAGTTTCATTTGTTGACAACTTTCACGGGGTTTGACTACTTTTGCAAGAGACTGTGTTTGGGGTAACTACCTGAACTAAAACAATTGTGTATCATTAATTTTAGAAACACAGATGAGTGGTTGTTTGTTTCCTTCACATTGGCAATGTAATGTCACTTTTTGTATATTTTCTTGCTGATTTATGGATGATGAAATGCACATGTATCCATTCAGGGACCCGTGGGAAACATGCTTGCCATCTAGTAGAAAACAGAAAGAATATGCATTAATAGCTACCGTTAAAAGTATGATGCATTGCAAGCTGTACATTCACATTTTATGACAAGCTTAAAAATAAGACAGCAATGTTCTATATGCATACAATGTATGACCCACTTCTAATCTTGGCTCTTGTTTAAATGGCCTTTTTCTTCTAAAAAGAAAGCATTAAATCACACATAAAAGACTAAGCGAGCAAAACAGAAGACATAACGGAATGAGATCTGCTTTAAAATGAAGAAACTGATGACGGGAAAGTATGGAGACATAATGGACAGAGATATTGTAAACTGTGGTCACATGAGTCTCTGTATAGAAAAAGAAACCAGTCCATTGTAAGGAAGGTCTTATGACTTTTATTAATCACTGTGACAAACCCTGAATGAATGTTGATGCATGCAAGAGCTAAAAAGTGTAGGTTGCAGGAAAGCTGCCAATAATGTGTGGTTGTTTTTCCAACTGTCTGTGTGTTTCCAAAACAACTTCACTCTTCACAGCACTATGACGAAATTTCACATGAACTGGGTCAGGGGGGCCTTTGAAGGCCACATATGGAGCCTATCACTGCCATTTAATGATGATTTACTGCAAAAGATTTTATGATAGTATTACTAAAAGTAAATAAATAATAAATAAATAACATTAGCAGGAAATTTAATGGAAATGGTTGAGTTTCCTCGAGTGTTTGGCTAAGGTTTACTGGTTCCTGAGGCGCTCTGGAAGAGGGTGAACAGTGAAGTAGGACACAGCAGCTGCCTGCTAAACTGGGAACCCCCTGAGTCTGGCTAGTCTCGTCATCCCTCTAACCCTCATCTCATCAGAAACCAGAGCAAACAGAGCGCTCCTGATCTAAGGGGACAGACAATCTTCATCTTACTAACATGGAGATACTAAAATTACTGATTCCAGGAAGATTCCCAGAGTAATGCCCAACACTCAGTCAAAATGCTAAGCCCTGTTTCTGTGTGTAAACAAGGAGAACACTGATCGTCACATGGACATTAGTCAGGAAGTTGTATGGTGATTGTTATTACACCAACAAACACTTGTCTAAAGATAACTCGCACCACAAATAATCAAACAGAAAAACAGCAGCACTGTAAGCCATTTCTCTAAAATAAAATCCACTATGACGCAGAAAAGGAGCAACTTGCTTGTTTTTGCTATCAAAACAAAAACTTGTTTGTCTGAAGTGGTCACTTTACAGGAGAAGGAAATATTGTTCCTCACATGGAAAACAAATTTTCCTTGATTTTTTTTAAATAAAAGTACGATGTGGTATGTTAACATTGTCTCTAAATGTACCATTCCCTCCCAAGTTCACATGTTCCATATACAGAACTGAAGCAACAAAACAGCCAATTTTCAAGCCCTTACTTTTATAGTGTCACAAAATCCAACACACATATATCTGCAGTTTAGCTCCACCCATTAATGCTGAAGTTATAAAGAGTGTTTCAACCTAGACTGGTAAAATACACAGCAGCCTATCAGAACAGAGGTAATTTACATATATCAGTCTTGAGGCACAGTAACCAAAACTGCCTGTTTAATTCTAAGGGATAAACAGATGTTGAAATATGGTCATGTAAAAATGAATTATAATATACGATATGGGCCACTGTCTGTTAATCTGAATAAGAGCCCAAGAAAATCGGTCCATCTGCCATAAATTGTTCACACAATGTAAGCTGGCATTTTCAATTGGTTAAAAAAATAAACCCTATGACAGCAAAGTTATATTTATTTTCTAAATAAACAACTGTATTTTAGGAACTGCTCTGGAATGACTTTGTCTGTCCCATGTGGAGTTATTCATGGGAGAGATTCCAAGTCCTACTGAGCTGAAAGAGAAGTGACTTTTGGAAAGGAAGGCCTGTCGCTGCTTGCTGAGGACCACACAGCTCCTGGACTTCTGCCATGCAGCAGAAGGAAAACCTTAAATGCAAAAATGAAGGGATTTTAAGAGGAAAAGGTAACTTAAATAATGTATCCAAGTGACTTGACATTGACTGTGACACTATTTAAAGCTTCTGTGACAAGCAACAAGCATGTCATCAGTTGTAATATTAGAATAATGTAATTACACACTTCATCATAGAAATATAATTATTCAACCAGCCATATCTGATAATGTACATGTGAGAGTCTTAATATTCCTTTAGCTTAGTGTATTCACTGAACACTAATGTGTATTTCCGTGTTTAGACTAAGTGTTAACAGAGTTGGCAAAAGCACAGCCCAAGATGCTGCATGCAACATGTCACAGCTGACACTTCTTGGAGAGAGTGTGTTTCTCAGTTGCCATAGACCACAAAGAATGGCAATATTGTGAGCAGTGAATTCCCATGACATGAATTCTATGAGGTGATGGCAAAACACAAGCAGCAGGACAGAGGCATTTCTGACATGTATTTCACAACAATTTTTGACATCCATTTACATTTATTAATTTTTATCATGCACAGTCTGGCACCCTGCAGTCTGCAGAGACGAATGGAAAATATACATGAATATGATGTACAACATTTAAAAAAATATATATATAATTAAACTGCCTCACACTTCTACAGAAATACTGCAGACTACTGCTCTCTGAATTCAGTCAGTAAAAAGATGACTTCATATTTGATGGAATAACAGCACCCAATACATACCTGCAGAATATTCCAAAAAGCAATGCAACACACTGTGTGTGGCAGTGCTAAAAAAAGACCACGCACAAACACAAAACCCACACCTGCCATCTGTCACCTCTGACCGTGTGTGCCACCTGAAATGTTCCAACAGCTAGCTCACTCCCAGCAGCATTAGAGAGTAATACGAACATGGAGGAGCTGTGAAACTATCTGTAGTCAGGGCGCGATTTGAGAGGGAAAGCAAGTTCTTCGTCCAAGAAAAAAAAAGAAAGAAAGGAAAAAATCACCCCCTTGTAAAAACACCATCCCCTTTTTCCATCCCCTTTGGATTAATGCCAATATTATCTAAGATGCCTAAATGTCTAAGACATCTACTGTGGCTATTTTAATTCCATCCATGTCTGAGAATTACAGACCATGTTTCCTTTCATGTGGGAAATGTTCCGAAGTTCACCAAGTTCACGAAAAGAAAACACAAAGCTGTGCTGTTTATATTCATCTTTGGCTGCAGATGATAACCCAAAATGGGCTCGAATCCCATGGTATAAAAAAAGCATGATTGTTGCTACCTATACTCTGACTAATCAGTATGAGTATGAGAGATATCTGAAATGAAAAGGTAAGAAATAAAATAAACAAACACAAAAATACACCTGCATAGCTTACCACAGTAATCAACAGTTTACAATCTGACCACTGTCGGTAGTACTGACTTATATTTCAGGAAATCCAATACAAAAGCACCACCAAACCACTAACAGTATTTTCTCATAGGCTGTATTGTTGCCTGTGTCCCTGCCACAGCACTATAGCACTGGTAGAGCCCAACTAAATGCATAGTCTTTATAGCCCAGTCTGATCAGGTCGGTTTCTGCTGTACTACAGACAGTGCAGCATGATGCTGTGGGCTGGGTCCTGCCGCATAGTCTCTCTCTCTCTCTCTCTCTCTCACACACACACACATACGGACAGAAAAAACCCGCAGCTCCTACCTTCTCTCTCCCTGACTTAGCTGAGCATCAGCACTGTGTGCTAACAGGCTCTCTCTGCTGGACAGATAGACAGTGCGTGAGAGAAAGAGAGAGTGAGTGAGAGTGAGAGAGAGAGACCCTCTCTGGTGGGGGTGTGGTGGCTGGTGGTGGTGGTGGGGAGGTGGGTATGTGCTGGGGGTCTGCCAAGACACAGTCACACATTTGGGAAAAACCTTATACACTTCCGGTTGCGTGGCTGACATTAGCTAACAGCTGACAGGCTCTCTTCATTGGTAAACGGCACATTTTAACTCAGCCATGGCTGCACATCTGTTTGCACAACAGCATCTGTTTCTATTTATTATATACATAAAAACCAAATATCTTAAACACTAGTCCTTCTGAAAAGCATTTATCGAACTACGCATTTTAATTCTGACTGTATCTTGGGTAAAAAAAAATATATATATTTTTAACCTAAAATGTTACAACTAGGTACCCACTGTTCAAGAACGACATATGAATATCAGACGTTACTTCGAATTAAACTTTTAACTGCATCAAAAATGTGCGACAAACTACCTTAACGATGAATTATGACCTTAAAACCACCTAAATGGCCAAATTCCTCCTCTTCTGCTGTTCTAGCTAACAGCCCAGTTCAGACTTCATCACGGGGTTTTAAGCACCTGCCTGTCTGGTGGGCGTTTCCTCTGGAGGAGCGGAAGATTCTGATTGGCTGTTCGACCTGTCCATCTAATTTCTACATTGCGAGAAGGGTATTTTTGAGGAAGCGAGAAAACGGGTCAGAAAATGTGTGAAAATGTGTGGTAGTTGTTCGTTAATTTCGGGATAAAACAGTCGTTTTAGTTTGCAGGTGTAGTTTGGGTGAACATAAGCGCAGTTTCAGCTGTGGTCGGGCGTGCTGTGAAAGGTATGTTACACTCTTTCTCCGTGTGTTTGTAGCTTAGCTTAGCCGGCGTTTCATATTGATGAGCTAATCGTGTTGAGCCGCAGAGTTTTCCTCTGATGGTCAGGATGGTCAGGATGGTCCTGCAGAGCATTGTCTGGTTCAGTGCTGTCTTTGTCCTTGGTTAAGTTGCAGTTCTCTAACTCACTCACCATAGACTGACAGAAAGAAAATGATAGTGGAATGCCTTTAACGTTTTACTACCACAAAACCAAAATTTAAGTTAGAGACGTCATCCAGCAGCTCTTCCTTATCTGTCTTTACAGCACTGAACATAGCTGGGCAATAGATAGTTAACATACCCAAGTTTTGGTTTTGACTAGTCATCTACACAGGGCTTCAGCTTCAGCTAGCTAGAGAACTGCTGGGCACCTGCTCAACAGATTAAAATTTTAACCACAATAGTGTCCCTCTTTCCCTGGAAAACTCTTGGAACTTATACTAATCTAAAGATAAGTGTTCATGTAGTTAACAGCAACTGTGCTGACATTTATGTAATGCAGTTCCCATCAGTAGTTTTCCAATTTTTACAGCAGATTTTCAGTGTGTGGAATATGTTTAATAACAATTAGATTAACCTTTAGCCAGTGTAAAAGCTAAAATAGTAAAAAATGATGCTGAACAAATTTCTTGATACAACTTTAACCTTTTTTTTCCCTTTCCAGGAAAGGAGGCTGTTTAAATCTTGACAGGATGCATCCCAAGGCTCTTCTGTTTGTTCTAGCAGCCTGTTATCAATCAGTCATCTCTGTAAATACAGGAAATGGAACACAGAAGGACTTGCCACCACTACTACTTGTATCATTTGATGGCTTCCGTGCAGACTATCTGAACAACTATGCTTTTCCCAATCTGCAGAAATTCTTCTCAGATGGGGTTCTTGTTGAGCATGTCACCAATGTCTTTATTACTAAAACTTTTCCTAATCATTACAGTCTTGCTACTGGACTATATGCAGAAAGCCATGGTATTCTGGCCAGTCACATGTACGACCCATTAACAAAGAAAGATTTCACTCTTCACAATGATAGTGATCCTTTCTGGTGGAACGAAGCAACGCCAATTTGGGTGTCTGTGCAGGAATCGGGTTATAAGTCTGTTGCTGCTATGTGGCCAGGAACAGACGTGATGATTCAAAACCGTACCCCAACACACTTCATGAAGTATAATGGAAAGGTGAGCTTCAGGGAGAGACTGGGAAACGTCACAAAATGGCTAAGTGAAGACGACTCTGTCAAGTTTGCAGCTCTTTACTGGGAGGAGCCTGACTATACTGGACACACCTATGGGCCAGACAACACCACAGAAATGGCCAAGGCACTGAAAAAGGTGGATAATAATGTAGGTTTGTTGATGGAGCAGCTCAACAAGACAGGGCTCTGGGGAAAGATTAATGTGATTATTACGAGTGACCATGGCATGGTTCAGTGCTCCCAAGGTAGACTTATTCAGTTGGACCAGTGTGTCAACCGCAGCAGCTACATTGTGGTGGACCTCACTCCAGTGGCTGCCATCATCCCTCTCATTGGTTGGTATTTGCCTCTAAAACATATTAAACACATTACAACATCTTGATTACTGTTCCATGCATTTTAGTAATTACTAAGACTAAACTTTACTAATCTTTATTTTATTTTAGCTCTAATTTTGGATATGCTGATATTTATTTCTTCGTTTTTGGTTTACAGAACCATCAGATCTATACAAAAAGCTTAGCAACTGCAATATTCACATGAAGGCTTACATGAAGGATGCAATACCTGACAGACTGCATTACAAAAACAATGAGAGGATTCAGCCAATCATCTTGGTGGCTGATGAAGGTTGGACGATTGTCCAACAAGGTGGCCTCCCACGATGTAAGTGTGCAATTTGGTATGGTTCCATAAGGTGTATTATCCTTTGTATCCTTACAGTGCAAAGTTTTATGCTCTGGTGTTTGCTTATACTAGTACAAATACCTTCATGTTCAACACAATTTTTGATGCTGAATTCAAGATTCAGTTAGATTTTTTTATTTTATCTGTTAGATTTAATTGTATTGTCATTATGCAAAGTACAGGTAGAGTGCCAATGAAATGCAGTTAACATCTAACCAGAAGTGCAAAATACAGTATTTATTACATATCACTTGCAGGAAAATAACCGTGCTGAGTGGTGCTGTGGTTACAGTATGTACAATTAAAGACAGTGGAGTAATAAAGAAAATTAATGTTGCAAGTATAAATATAATATACGTGTATGCCAAGTGTGTGGAGAGAATGCTAATATAGGTTGTGTGTACTGTGAGAGCAGCATATGTAATATGATATGTATGCAGAGTAAAAACATGCCAAGTAACTGTCTGTGCAGATATGAATAGTGCAGTAATAGACCGTACAAATATGAATAGTGATTCTACTGAGCTCAAACTATGTACTACACAGACTGGTTTGACGAGCGATCCCTCTAACTGAGTAAAACTCACAAAATTGCAACTCCTAGAATTTATATAATTCAGGAAAGGAAGTAATTTCAGTGTGTACACAGCATATCCTCCCCCTCCCACTTTACTCAGATTGGATGCACCCACATGTCTAGTTTTAATCACTGACAGTGGTTTCCTCAAAAGACAACAAGTAAGAGACACTCGCAAGAGACTGATGAGTGTATTATTAACACAGTTTTCAATATCGATGCACTGTTTTAAACCTGGATTTTTCAATACTGTATTAAAATTGTTACACCTTTATTAATCATGCCCTATTTTTCCTCTCACAGTGGGCGATCATGGCTATGATAACTCCCTCCACAGTATGCACCCCTTTTTGGCAGCCCATGGCCCTGCCTTTCGTAAAGGTTATCGGAAGGAGAGCATCAACTCCGTGGACCTCTACCCCCTCATGTGTCACATTTTGGGCATCCCTGAGAAGCCAAACAACGGCAGCTTCGCACACACACGCTGCATGCTGGTCAATGAGAAATGCACAGACCTGGCTGTAGTTGTGGGCATCGTGATCGGAGTTTTCATAGTGCTCACTACCATCACCTTCCTCTTCAGGCTGATGAAGAACAGAGAGCCATCATCATCACGACCATTCGCTCGCTTGGAGCTGCAGGAGGATGATGATGATGACCCATTGCTTGATTGAGCTGCTAAGTGTTTTTGGATAGAGGCATGCATTCTCTTGGATGGAGGACATTTAGCTTTGTTCAGGCACACATGAGATGCTTGCCAAAGAAATGAAAACTCAGACAATCACGTATATTTTAGGAAGAGATGAAACAAATGATCACTCATAGTGGAGGGCTCTACTTTTTTAGCTTTATTTGTGAAAAACTGCTTCCAATTCCTTACATCTATGCATAGTATAAGATGGCCAGTTACTTCGGAAATAATTATAATAATATAATAGTTATATAATATCCAGGCAAAACCAGTAATAATTTACAGCTTTTTTGTTTTTCTGGTGAAGATACATAAAGAGGGTAGTAAAGATATGTTAAGATGCTTGTAATGATGCTGGTTTTTGTTTCTTTGTTTTGTTTTGTTTTTCTATTATATTGTGTTGGCTGGCCAGTATTTTCAGTGTATATACAGTAACATGACATGGAATTAGGGTTGCAAAGTTTGGCGAATTACTTGACGATTATCCGAGCATCATTAGTCAGTGAGTAATTGCTAACTGGCAAGCCTAAAATCAAAGACACAACTAATCAGAATATCAATTCCAGAAGTGATCGTTCAGGTTCTGCAATGTGATTGAATGAGCTGTGTTCGAAGCCATTGTAAAATACTTAATATGGCCACACTTAAGAGCACACACATCAACTGAATTCTGTATTAAGTGTTCCTTGTATGAACTGTGGAACATGCTGATGGGTGGGGTCAGGCGTAAGTGTGTATATGCAGTAATGTTTAAACCCTTTTAAACAAACTGCACATGAGAACTCAGTTATGTTTAGACTGAGAGGCTGATAATTATATGTTCATAATTCTGTGACCCAAAACTAAAATGTTGAAAAGATGACAGGAATATAAAATGATGGGTTTCTGATAGTTCTGTATTCTAAAGTTATATTTGCTACTCAAAATAACTCACTAGCTCAAGTTAATGCAAACATAAATGCCATAAGCAGGGCTAGCTTTGACTCAGTGCACCTCAGTAGCTCTCAAAAGCCATCGCTGTTCACCATGACCTTCTTTATAATTTTACACTTTCTCTCAGAGAACATGAACAAAATAGTTGTCTTTTTTTTTCGTTTGTGGATGTTTGCTTTCAATATGGTACATTGTGTGGTCTCGAATACCACTTCATTTTTCAGTAGATGTATCTAACGGAACTAATAGCCTGTACCGCCCTCACGCATACAATTAACATCTTGAATGAGAAACCTGAAAAATTCAAATAGGAATTGTTGTTTATTGGAAACATGAAATAACTTTTTTTTTTTAAGCAACAACACTGGTTGAACAGTATTTTTGTCGATTAACAGTTAATCGTTTTCATCCCTACACAGAATTTGAAATTAAACCAATGTTTTATTAAGTCAGGTAATCAACGAATAAGTGTTTTATGCCATTAATTTCATAGGCCTCAGGCCAATGTCAGATGCACTATAATGAATATTTTGTTTTCACTGGAGACCTTTATGATTGGCAACCTATCTGTTCTCCAAAATCGCTTATTTTAAGTGCACTGAGAGCACAGTGATGTATTCTGTGTTCTGTTAAAGGTTTTCTGTCTTTAGGTCAGTCAGTTGAATGTACTGCATAGACGTGATGATCTGCTCATTATGCTACATGGTTGTATACACTGTATATTTTATTTACCTGTGTGTTATGCTGTGTACTGTAGGTCAGACATCCTTTCTGAAGAATGCAGGGAATGCATTTTTCCTTCCACTTCCTTTGTGAATCCTGCTATTTAATCGTGAGTCTTGATATTTATGCTTACTTAGACACTGTTAAAGAAATTCTATTTTTCTATTTCGGTGGTACATAGTCATTTTAATCATGGCATACGAATTGTTTTACAGGCCTCTTGTGGTTTTTTATCTTCTAATGTACAGATTTAGCTTTTGCAAAATGCTAACTTAGGGGTAATAAGGAATTTTAATTTACGTTGTTTTGCTGTGTTGGTTTGTTGCGCCTTGTTGTTCATGGTAGTGGTGGAGTGTTTAAGTATCTGTTCATGGTTTCTCCAGAATGCATTTCAAATCAAGTCTTCCTGTAGTGGAGTATTTTTTTTGCTATTTGAGGTAATAGGCAGAGTTTGCACTGTAAGTATAAGAGAATCTATGCAAAAGAATGATTATGTCAGACGTCTTCTGAAGTTGGGTACTGATATGTATGTGTGGAAAAATAAAATCTTTGTTTATTTGTATAAATAGTTGTTTTTTGTGTGAAATTGGTTTTCTTGTTTTTAAGGCTACTTATGGTTGGAATGTCCTTAAAAGGACATTACTTCATGGTATTTTTTTAACTCAACCACTAGAGGGCGCTTTCCAGTATGTGTTTTTTAAAATGACCTGTTTGATTCTGTTCAAGTTTCATGGATTCATCTTTTGATAGAAAGACGACTGTTGCAGTTTTACTGTATAACATGTTGAAGGTGGGGTAAAGGGGTAATGAGGTCAGCCAGAATGTGGCCTAGCTTGTGTTGTTTTATGGCTCCTTTTAATAAATTAACTTGAAGACTCCTTCAAGAATGTCCCTGCTTATTAAATAAAAGGACCCACTGTGTAACACCACATTGTCACTGAATTATTATTAATGTTTCCAGTGGAGAATTTTCCAATTCACAGTAAAAGATTTCTGTGATCAAGGCTGCAGTGTTATGTTGGTGGGAGTGCAGTGTGTAGGGGGTAAGATGAGTTTGAGTTGGAGTTGAGTAGTGCTCTATATTTAGAGAAGGTGGAATGTCCCTGTTCCCTGTTCCAGCCCCAGCCCATAACCCACCACTGACTCACTCAGCATGGCCTGAGCTGCTGCTCTCTGCATGTCTCCATGTCCAGGAAGACTGTCAGTGATTGCTATCTAAATTTGTATCATCCGAGAGAAATCAAAGGACTATTAAGCGTATTTGCTGTGCATTAATCCTGTTATCCTCCTATGTAATTTATTTATTTTTCATTTACTCTGCATATTAGGTTTTGGGACTCTGACCTTTCCAAAATACCTGTAATAAATAAGCATGTGTTCTTTACTGTTTTTATTGTAATATATTAGATCTTGCCATTTTTCTCAGCAAAAACTGAAAGAAAAGTTAGCAAAAGCATTACACTGGATGTAATGTTGAATCCCATGCATTTTATTCCCTTGTTCTGATGTCAGCACTCAACAAAACTTTCCATAAAAGTTTCAGTGTGTGCTTCTCAAAAACAGATTACAAATGAAGAGTATCAAATCATTGTTTAGGCAAAATCTGCTCTTCCTACCAAAAAAGACAATTTAATAAACATAAGCTGTTTACAATATTGTTGCTGTCAAAAAAAATGTCCAGATTTACTTGGAATAAAATCTCTTTACCTTATAGTAAAAGCTTGAGAATATACTTAAAATATAAGAAAATAATGTTTAAAAACCATGTTAAAAAACAAAATAATGTTTGCAGGTATGTTTATTACTTATTTGAAAACAAAGTATGAAAAACATTATATTGAACATTTCAAAAGAAAGTAAGCTGCCCCCAAACTTTCAACAGGAGGAGTATATTTATAGGACCGTTTGCAGATTGTTGCAGGTAGTGTTCACTTTACATCTCATTCAAGTTTTTCCAAAACTGGAATTCAAAAAATGTTTAAAAGATGCAAAGAAAATGGGACCGCTAATAACCATGCAGGACCTGGTAGACCACCACAACTGTCCCCATCAGATAAACAGCACTTCAAGCTTTCATCTTTGAGAGAGAGGAGAAAGTCAAGTTCCACTCTTGCTTCAGATCTGAAAAACTCCACAGGTGTTTCTGTTCATCCTTTAACTGTGAGATGACAAGCATGGGCATTGATAGACCAATTTTAGGGGGGCTTTAGCACCCCCACCCCCACAAAAGTTATTTAGCACCTGTCTTTCTAAGTAAAAGTACACTACTAGTTCAAATCATGTATAGTTTATTCTTGTTCACAATATACTGTAATAGCAGTGCGCTGTGCTACCAGAGATTGACTATCGTAACGTTCAGGCAATCATATTAGACCTCCTACGTTGTAAGCCAATCATGTCAGACCTGGGGGAGGGGCTGTTAATGCCCTGCAGAGCTGAAGACATGATTTTGGCTAAAAGCTCACTAAAATAACCAGTGGACCTTATTTAACATCTATAATACAGTATACAGAGTGAAACAGTGTTAAACAGTGTAAATATATCCAACTATAATTTGGATTTGTGGCAAAGTGTGGTCAGTGTAGCTGGATATCTGTTACTTGGTTGTTTAACTCTAGCTAGCTAACCTTAGGTAACTTTGGGTTTAACGTTAAGTGAGGTAAAGAAAAGAGGCTAGACTAACACTGACATTAGCTAACAAGCCAACTAGTTTAACCTCACTTCATAGTAAGTGCATGACTGTGAACAAACAAGAGAGACAGAAATAATGTTATTGACAGTTCTTTATATTCTTTGTTTTAGATTTCTCTAAAATCTCTCATTGAAAACAATGACACCAGTATTCGCCATATATTGTTGTTTACGGTAAGTTAATGTCAGTGAAAAGGACGAGGCTGAAGTTACGTCCTATTCACCAGAATCTTGTTATAATTTTCCCGGTGTGAGGCGCCAGAATGAAACCGCTGAAACATTTAAGGTGGAACGGAAAACTCAGACGAGAAGCGACTTCAGTTTCATCTGAACGTGTCATCATAACTCAGGTTTATATCCCTCAATTCCTCAATCTGTAAATGGAAATTAAGAGGCATCATCTCTGTCGAAGGTCAGTCAGATGAGATGATTTTTACCAGTTATTGTTATTTCCTTGAGTTCTTGAAAATCTGAGTTTATTTAAATGAATGTATTACTGAACACAGGAAGAGAGGGAGAAGAAAAAGCTGAAGGAGACTGACAAGACTGAAGGAGCAGATCTGATGGAGGTTAGTGATCAAGAAGAAAGCGAGTGAGAGAGCTGTATAAGCTTTCGTTTAAAATTAATTCTGAATTTAATTCAACTTAACTGAGAAAATATTCATCACCTTGACCATGAAATTCTATCACCTAGATTATTAAACATGCCTACAGAGCAAAATCATGCTCTTTCTGTGTGCAGCAACTGAGACTAAACTGATCTATAATCTGTGTGTTTGAATAATATATTTTGGACCTTGCAGCTTATCTAAGAGAGAGGAGAGAGCATTGCTTGACTTTAGTCTCTCTGGGGACATGCCCCCAGACCCCCAGCACAAGCTTAGCCCCATCTCTGAACCTCTAGTGACGCCGCTGAAGACAACTCAGTTCTATGGATCTAAAAGGATGTGTAGCTGTCAAGTAGCTGTTACTGAGGAAAGGAAACAGACAAAAGAAGAAAATTTGCTTATCAAACAAAGAAGCTGCTGAGAGTCCAGACCTCAACATCACTAAATGTGTTTGGGATTACTTGGGTTGTGAGAAATAGAAAATGAAACCAACTTCTAAGACTGAACTTTGGAGCTGTGGACAAATATCCCTGCAAATTTCTATGAAAAACTGAAAGTAAGTCTTCTGAAAAGCAAGGAAGCTGTGGATGCAGTTTGGACACAATAAATACTGAAAAATGTGCTATTATGTTTAGTCGTTAAGGCTTCTGTCTAAATGCCTGTCAAATATGTGTTTTCTGTTTTTTCCATGATTCTGAAAAATGAATAACTTGTACTTAATGGCTGTTTTTATGGGAAATTAAATAAACTTAGGGTGATCTCTAACGTTTGTCAGTTGTACTATAGTTTAGCATTACAGGGGTCATATTTAGTACTGTACTTGCAGCAGGTGATCTAATCACATTTAGCTGACCATTTATCAGTCGCTGATGCATCTTTTCCTCTTCAGTATTACTCACCTTTCATACAGTTCAAGCTCTCTGGAACACCCCATGTGGATTTTCACACCAGGATAACGCGACATCACCAGCCTACGCCCTCAGGGTGACTCAGTTGAACTATTTTTTACAGGAGGGGTTGAAAAGTGATTGACCACGGGTAGTCCATAAAGGCTAGAGGTAGAGAGAGAGGAGGGAGTGGAGGTGACACTCAGAGCTCCTCCTTCTCCTCTCCGCTGGCTATTTTTGGCCTGACTGTGACAGTGTGAGCGTGTTCCCCCTGACAGCTGCCTACAGGGGCCAAATCAAAACAAGCCTGCGCCTCAGCTACACACTTGTTGCAGGGCTGAGACCATCACTATGAGCCAGTTGGGGTTATGGTAAGGTGCACAGGAGCTTCTCTGGCAGGCAGGCTTTTTCAATCTGAATACTCATCCCACCCGGCCAGGAGCTTACTACAGACTAGCATCTTATCTGGGGTGAGAGAACAGCCTTAAGTACAGCCTGAAACAAATGGCCTCCACAAATGAAGATAAGGACCCCGACATTGAGCTGTTTGTAAAGGTAAGGACACTAATGGCATGCTATTGACCGCACTTTAGCTTAGAAGATTTCCCAGAGCTCAATTTAAGTCACCTTTATTTACACAGCTCATTCTCAGACAAGCATTGTACAAAGTGCTGTACAATATACTCAAGCAATGTTAAAGGAAAATAGAAATAAAACAGAAATAGTGAAGAAATGGCTCTTTAGATTGCTGGGACACTGCAGTCTTTGGATCTCTGTTAAAAATCCATGTCAATACGGTTCTCTTTCATGCATGTCCTGTAACTCAGTGGTTCTATGTGGTGTAACAGGGTTGACAGATGTTGGTTGGTGGGGTGGAAGTTCACTCTCAAAACAGATGCACTAAAACCAACACATAGTGAGCGATTTTTAACCTTCTGAACCCTAGACTGACTATTCAGTTAATAATCTGAAGACTTATTCAGTAACCACTATGAATTCTTTGACAACTAGCATGTAAAGTGTGGGCCCATGTGCAGGTCCTTGGAGTTGAAGGGGTTAATAAACACATGATTTTCCAAGGTTCAGAGTGAAGTTCTGAGCTGGACAGGGCAGGAGTCTCAGTAGCGCTCTTTCTGCTCAGGAGCCACACAGCCTCCTGAATTATTTCTCCCTACCTATCAACACTCCACGCTCTAATTCCTCTGTGTACCTGCTGCACAAGGCTAAATCAGATCAGTGGTACATTCTGTGGCTTGCTTTGCCAAGTTTGACTGAAGTGTTTACGTTTCTAGATCAGATCATCCTTGCAAGAATGATGATGATAAACAGTGAAAATATTTGACAACACCGCTGATGAAAAATACAATCTTATCAGCTTTTAATGTGCTGTAATTATAAGATAATAATAATATTCCCTGATACACTGTACACTATCAATGGCCACATTTACAGCACCACTTGCATGACACCCCTTGCAAGTTACAGTTATTGCCATGATAATAGAAGCATGCTTTAATAAGCTATTATTTATTTCTCACATTGTTCATTGAAACAAGAGGAATTCTGTCAACAGCTCAAATAAATTTTCAGTTGACATAAAATTTTTGACCATAAGTAAAATATGAGGTTTATTATTATGATGTTCTTTATTAGAGTGTGTGCCAATTTTTGAAAAACCATTTTTTTGCCATTTTTTTTCATTTCATTGAAGCAAACGCTCAATAAAGAATGTAAATCAAATGTAAATGTAATTTGTTGTGTGATCATGTTATTACAGCAGTAATAACACAGTAATAAAGCTAGATTTCAGAGGGTTAATGAGAGAGGGTAGTGATTATTCCTCAGGCTAGAATTTCAGCGCTTACTTACTAACTGTTATTTTTACTAGAGGATCTATACATCTGCTCATGAACATCACATGCTGAAATATATATGAATACATAACCTTTGAGTGAAATTCTATCTTTACTTTGATCTTGGTTTAGTTGCTATCTCTAAGTGGGTAGACTGACTAGACCTAATGGCAGAACGACAGCTCGTTTATGAGTGTATTGCTAAAAGGAAGGCTCCTTTCAAAAGGAAGTTAATGAATGCATTTTCCAGTGTTATTTTATCTGAGCTAATCAAAGAAACTTTGACCTCTGAATCCCCTGAGATAACCCTTTGAAATCTTAACGCGCTGCATTTAAACCTGCGGTGGAGAAGTGGTAAAACAGCATTAATTGAAAGGGTTAGGATGAAGTCAAGCTCAAGGTTCTGTTGACAAGTCAGCCCCGAACCCTTTGGGCCGAGGGCTAATGAGGCAGGTAATGGAATTTCCATCAATAATTCAACTCAAGCCTGGATCCAGTGACCGGCTCAGCTTACTGGCCCAGTTTAATGCTGCTATTGGATAGCATGATCTCCTCATTTCAGTTATGGAAATTCAGTTGTGATTCTGACTGCTGCTTTGTTTGGTTTGTATAGCGGGAGCTTGCTAATTGCAACTGTACCAGCATAGGCAAAAGGTTCCATCTGATTCATGGAGCAGTGAATGGTTTTGAAAGATGGAATAATCCTGTGTCTGGCCCTGTGACACTGACTCACATGTTCAGTTGTTTTGTTTTTGACATGTACTATCTCAAGCTTTTTTCATGAGACTTTCTGGTGATTTTAAAGAGGAGTAGGCCATAACTGGAAATTGTAAAGATAACAAATACATTAATTAACACATATGACATATAATTGTATGATAAAAGGATGATTGCATACAAAGTACGGTCATTTTACCATTATAAAAAATATGATTATAGGTCATTTTAAAGGACTACTTTGTTGTCAAACACATTCAAAACTGAATAGCATGTAACAAATGAGCACTGTAATCTCTGTACTAGACTAATTAGACTTTAGTTGTGGTACAGCATGAGATGAACTGTTGCTCTCTAACAGATCGCTTTGCTTTCAGGCAGGCAGTGATGGAGAGAGCATTGGGAACTGCCCGTTCTCTCAAAGGCTCTTCATGATCCTGTGGCTGAAAGGAGTGGTGTTTAATGTCACTACTGTAGATCTGAAAAGGTAATGGCAAGCTGAAAAGTGAAAGTGTGTATGGAGTGAGTTGGGGGGACAACAATAGGCCTGGTGAAAGTGTGTATGGGGTGGATTTGGGGGGACAACAATAGGCCTGGTTGCATCATGTTTTTAACCATAAGCATCAGTATGCAAGCATGCTCATGGATAATAATATATTGTTGTGTGGTTGTGGTATGATCATTATCACAAGGTATGATACTTGTTTAATCAATTTTAAGAGGTGCAACTGAAAAAAATTCACCACTGTACTCATTTAATACAGACACATAGGCTACGTTCACATTACCAGGTTGAAGTGGCACAAATCCGATTTTTTGCCCTAATGTGACTCAGATCTGATGTTTTCAGGGCTGTGTGGACAAGCAAATCTGATCTTTTCAAATCTGACCTGAGCTACTGCCATATGTGGTCCTAGATCGGATACGTATCCGATTCATGACCATGCGACCTTAATGTGATCGCTCAGATCGGAATTCATGTGCTTTTTTTCCACTGCGTGTACGCCATCATTCAGCATTACCATGGCAGCAGCGCCAAACAGATGTTAAAGCCTGTAAACGGTGGAAAAGCGTGATTCATTCACGTGACATTAATGAGTAGGATGTGCACATGAAGGTCATTTCACGACGCCGGTTTGCTCACATTAATGATAGATTTAAGTCACTTACCTAAACGAGTATGAATCATCCTGTCAGAGAGATCGGATTTGAGCAAAAAATCAGATTTGAGCAATGAGGCTTGTAATGTGAATGTAGCTATAGTGCCAAAAGCTACTTGGGCACTCCCTCTTGTGGAGAATATGCAGCCTGCTAAACATGAGTGAATGAGTTACAGGCCACAAGTTGCACAGTTCCAGGAAAACCCTTTAAGTGGTATAGAACCTTTACATAATGTGGAGGTTCTCTTTACCTTACAAGATTCTTGCATATTTCATTTACAAAGCATCGTCCATTGAAAGGCTCTTTAGGGAACTAAATGTGGTTCTTCTATGTCACCACTCCAAGGAACCTCTTGTGTATGTCAAGTGATCACGTTCCCATCAGAAATGACATCAAGTGAAACCAAACCAGACCATATTTCAATAATTTCCATAGATAAGGGATGTCTCCTTTGCATTTAACACCTGCTGTTTGTTCTATAGAAAACCGGCTGATCTCCACAATCTGGCCCCAGGAACGCACCCACCCTTCCTCACCTTCAATGGAGAAGTACGGACTGATGTGAACAAGATTGAGGAGTTCCTAGAGGAGATGCTAGCACCTCCAAAGTAGGTTTTTGGGGTGGACATGACTGTTAGAAGAAGTGTGCGTTTGTGAAAGTTCAGTAATGCATTATGCTGTATGACTTCCTTTTCCTCAAGGTATCCCAAACTAGCTGCAAAGAACAGGGAGTCAAACACGGCAGGAAATGACATCTTTGCTAAGTTCTCTGCGTATGTTAAGAACACAAAGCCTGAGGCTAATGCCAGTGAGTGTCTTTGACTGATTAAGGCTAATTACCACCTTTTAGTGACATGCTGTTGTGTTCCATGTAAAATGGCCTTCATGCTTCATCCATTTAGAAGTCTGCAGAAGGTGCATGGGTATTTCTGTGGCAATGGGATATGTCTGTTTTCTGTTTTGCCCTGCAGGCCTTGAGAAGGGCCTGTTGAAAGCCTTGAGGAAACTAGACAACTTCCTCAACTCCCCTCTACCTGAAGAGATTGATGCAGACAGCATGGAAGAGGAAAAATGCTCCACTCGCAAATACCTGGATGGCAATGAATTAACACTAGCAGACTGCAACCTCCTCCCTAAACTGCATGTTGTCAAGGTAAGCAAGCTGTGATGCCTGCTAGCATTGCTATTATTCTTTTTTTTTCTTTGTATAAAACACTAGAGATTTTGAGAGACCAAACGATCTTGATGATTTGATATGCAATACTCTGGAAACTTTCATTTCCAGGTTGTTTCCAAGAAATACCGTAACTTTGACATCCCAGCGGAGTTCACCGGAGTGTGGCGCTATCTACAGAATGCCTATGCACGGGATGAGTTCATCAACACATGTGCAGCAGACAAGGAGATAGAGCTTGCCTACCAGGATGTAGCCAGGAGACTGGCCAAGTGACACCTTAACCGGATCATACTTCAATTATGCAATAACTGTCATAGACAAAACTACAGTAAGACTCCTCTGGCTTTGAAAGAAGGTGTTGTGTTTAAGATTCACTCTTCTGTCAGGAGGGATTTTGGAGTTATCAGCTTTATTTTGTGTGTTGCCTTCAGGACACCATATTGGATTGGTCCTTTAAATGCCCTAGATAGACTGTTGCCTGGTCTAACGCTGCCTGTGTACACTTTGCATGCTGTTGCCATTTTATTCCCCTTATGCAAGTGGCATGAATTTGTCTTATCAGCAACTCTGTAATGGGCTTGAGAATGCACTGTGCCACTGAAATTTATTTAAATATCTACTCTTATCATGTACTGCAGACTGTTTCAGGCAGGGCCATTTCTGAAGCATATGGGGCTCTAAGCGACATCTTACTTGTCGGACCCCCACTCAAATCATGTTATTCTGAGTTGGAAAACCTGGTTTAAAAAAGACATACTCATTTGGCCTCATGGTGGCTGTTTCGGGGCCTTAAAGTACCCGCTTATACCACTTGAGAAATGGCCCTGGTTTCAGACTATACATTTATTTGAGAATGTTTCTTTTGCTGCTACTCTATTCTGCTTTCCTATACTCAGTCAAATCAGCAGTGTTGAATGAAACAGTGTTCTCCAGTGTCTGGTTTAGGTGTGCGCATGTAAGCTGGACTCAACTGAACAGTTTTTTAGTTCAGTGCTGGGGAATGTACTCACATCATGAAGGATAAATGTATTGTATCATGTCCTTAGACCACTAGTGTTTTGCACACATGCAGTTTGGTCTTGACTTGTTTCTGTTGTGTTTCCTTGCAGTGTTCTGGGAACCTTTAATATGAGATCAGAATGTATTTTGTGTAAAGTGAATGTAGCCTAAAGGTGATATTTGCAATTTAATGTGCTTAATCACATGTGCTGAACAGTATTGGATTTTTGGGACTGAACTCACTCTGAGCTTAACTGTGTAAACCACAAGCAAAGATTTGTGCAGGTCTTCTTGGGAATAGTCAAAGAGTACAGACAACCAAGCAGCACCATCTAGTGGTGGAAAAAGTGCAATGTTAGGTCCTCTAAATGCAGAATGCCCTCATGTTTCTCAAGGGTTATGTGGTTAGCCATATTGTAAGCAATCAGACTGTGTATTGCATAATCAAGAATGAGACAGCTAAAATGCATGATTTTATAATAATGACAACTGTTCATGTCCAGTCATGTACTAAATTACTTGTGAATTAATTGACTTTTGGGTGTACATGGTAGTGCAAGATCTAATATTTATAATATAACCCAAATGACTGATTGAACTCTTGGATAGTTCTCAGGTATTTCTGTACCTTAATGATTCTGCTTGTTTAGTACGACTCAATCCTCTTCTAATGGAAAATAAATCTATTTTTTTATGCTGTTTTGACAAGCACTGAATTTTAATACAGCTCAGTCAAAATATCTAGTTTCTTTCTTCTTTTGTAGGATTCTCATATCATAATGATAGATTTATCTGTTTTTATGGTCTGTTTGCAAACATCTAAGTTGTATATTCTCCTAAAGTTTCATAGCTACATTCTGACTACATTAACAGGATAAAATAATAGGTTGACAAAAGACATGCTCTACCTACCCCCGGTTCAACTGGCTGTCTGAAAAAACTCATCACTCCATCAGATTTCCTGCTCTCCGTGTCAGGTTGGGCTGACAGCAGAATAACATGTCTGCAGTGTTATATGTGTGTGGAGATCCCATTGGTGGAGCTCTGGGTGAAACTGGAGCGGTCTTCCTCAGCTGTGGCCGCAGTGCTCAGCCTCCTGGGCTTTAATTACTGCACTTCCTGTGGAGGAAGCCCTTTCACCAGCTCAGACCCGTCCAACACATTTCTTTCACTGGAAATTCAAACCAGCTGTATATGTGTCTGCAATCTTTATTTGGGCAGTGGGGGCAGGGGGGGGGGCGCTGTCAAACATGCACTTGGCTCCTTCCTTGATTACTTAAGCAAGTTCTGCACCATTCAGGATGATAAAATATCCTACATGAGGGACACAGAGTCCAGGTAACTCAGTCTATATGGCCAGACACAACAGCAATAGATATATCTGTTACATTATGTCTGCTTTCCTTTAATCAACAGTCAATTGATTGGAAAGATATTCAAAACACTAACAGGTTTGATCGTAGTAGCTTGTATCTTGCAAGAATAACCAAAAAAAAAAATAAATGTGCAGCTCTGCTCATGTTTATCATTTAACGTTTACAAAGATTGGAATTCAACATCACAGTACTGAAATGCAAAAGATGCAAATACATTATCGAAAAATTAATTAATATTAGTTAAAGCAACAGTTTAAATCTGTCTCATTTGAGCAATTTACAAAATTGTCATCTTACCCCAAATTTAGTTGATCAGCCAAACTTTGATTTTGCACTGTATATACAAAGATAATGTAGCTAACAAGCAATGCAAGCTCACAACCAGCAACTAGCATTGTGCAAAGTGCATGCTGAATCTATCAAACACTTAACTCAAACCATGTCACATAGTCATTAAGTACATCTTAAGTAGACTTATCATGTGGTTTCTGACACTATTTGACTGTTAGCCATAAAAATGAACAAAAATACAGCACATGCAATACTGTGCAAAATTACTGTCTATTAAGTACAAGTTATTAATTTTTCAGCATCAGGAGAAAAACAGAAAACATATTTAACAGAAAATGATACAGAAGCCTGAATAATGAATTTTTTTTTTTTCATTTTTGTCCACGGTTTTATTACAGCTTCCACTCTTTTCTGGAAACACTCACAGCACTGAGTTGTCTTCTCGCAGTGGAAGAAACACCTGTGGATTTTTTCAGATCTGAAGCAAAAGTGGAGCTTGATTTTCACCTCCCTGTCAAAAATGAAAGTTTTAAGTACTGTTTATCTGTTGGGGGCAGTTTTGGTGGTCTACCAGGTCCTGCACAGTTGGTATTTTCTCTATATCTTTTAATAGTTTAATACGTTTTTTAACTCCTCTACTTTCCCCTTCTTAATGCAAATTATTTTATATTTAATCACCTAAAAAAGTGAACATCTTACACTTCATGTCCATTTCAACTGTAATTTAAGTAAAAGAAGGGTGATCGCCGATGTCATGACTCTGTTCCATTTTTACCATGTAAAACTGCACATCAGCTCTAATTTGTTACCTACTTGGCTGAGGTTAAACTATGGAGCCCTAATAGGCCTCGGTGGGCCCTTCAACTCTAATCCAGGCTTGAAACCACAGAGGAAATGAAGCATACACATTAGTAACTCACCTCTGATAAAAATCACCTAGAAGACATGGCACCCCACCTGTTAGACTTCAGACTGATTGTGCAGGTTAGTACAACAACATATTTTAGTGCAGCTACCCATAATGTCTAAAGCGGATGTGCTCTTTGAAATGAGGAAATCCAGTTTTGTTATATAACATCTAAAAATGCAAGTCTAAATTTGGTTAAAATAACATAGATGATGGAAAAGACCACGCCACTACATACTGATGGTATTGTTTGTTGAGAGACAATAGTGCGCACTGTGTTTTCTCTATTTCCCCAGACACTCATCCAGTAGACGGAATCTTCACCTACATTTGTTGAGCTTTCCCCCCAAGTTGAATGGTGTCAAAAAGAATGAGGCCACTGCCTTGCAGTTCTCACTTCCCACATGACTTAACTTATGCTGAAGTGGCAATTACGTTTTCATAGCTCTAAACCCAATCCACATGCATGGTAATGTAAAGCAGAGCCTGAACCATGGGCAGTGCCAAAGGGCCGTGCAAAAGGCATGCTAGCTCGCCACAAGCAGGCTCAAGTCACCAACATCAGAGGCTTTCTTGGGCAGTCAAGTCAGTGCTTGATGGAGGCAACCTGTAGTTCAGCAAAGGTTTTTTCAAAAACAAGCTTTTGCTTCAGCCTTATAATTATAGGTTAATACACAGAGCTGGATCTGGGCAGTGCAGCCCAGTAATATCTTCTGAGTCCTTGTTGGATTTGTTACTGAGGACTGGTTGTGCATCAGTGACATTGCTCAGGCTCTAAATAATACCAAATGTTTCAGCTCACCCCTATTTCAAACAGCGGGGTAATTGTGGGTATAGATTGGTCAGATCCTGATTTAGACTTCACTGCTGTCCATCTGCACCTCATGAAAAGATCCAAGCAGTTTCACGTTTTATGGTGGAAAATTAGATGTGTTCATGCCGAGGGTGTATATGATGGCATTCACTATTGTTTGCTTTGGTAAGAATATTTTTTGTTCTGCGCCAAGTTGACTTTTGGGACTTTCACGAGCAGCATATAGGCTTTCCCCATCTACACTATGTTAACTTTCCATCTCGCCTTGAAGCAATAATGGCTAGGCAGTGCCCTTGTTTCAACATACCCCATTCAATGCTTCCATCTGGCCTCAGTTCACGACCTGATCTGATTTGTGCAGTGTTGTCCCATGCACTAATTTTGTCTATTTGTTTTGAATCTGTGGATTTACAGCAAAGGCTGTTGCTCTGGTTGCCGTAATGTTAACACATGAAAGCAGGGCTGAATGATTTGGAGAAAATATCTAAATGTGATTTTTCTGACCAATTTTTTGAATGCAATTTAAGTTGCCTCTTTTTCTATTAATTAGGGTATAGGCCTGTTTTTGGGGCCAAGAAAACAGCATAAAGCTTGAATGCTGAATGTAGTGCGAAAGACTGCCGGTGGGTTGTGACTATGTTGTTATATATAAATGGGACACTGGTAATACAGGCTGTTCACAAGCTCCATGTTACCTGCTTAAATTTCCCCATTTAAAGCTTAAGACAGTGCTATAGTTTCTGTAAGATATTACTTAAAATGGCAGCTCTTGTGACGAATGTCATTCATACAAAAACAATTAATCTTTCAGCCTGAAACCATCTATTCACAGTGTTACCTGGTATCACCCAAATGTGACTTACACTGATGAGCCAAAACATCAGGACCACTTCAAGTGATGCCAAATCAGCTCTGACCAGCCAGGGTATGGACTCTACAAGACCTCTGAAGTCCTGAAAGTTGTGAGGTGGAGCCACAGTGGATCAGTTTGTTGTTGCATGACATAACACAGATGCTTGTGATCTGGGGAATTTGGAGGCCAGGAAATTTAGAGGCCAGGGCAACACCTTGAACTCTTCTTCATGTTCCTCAAACAAATGTGAGCAGTGTGGCAGAGCACATTATCCTGCTGAGAGAAGCCACTGCCATTGGGGTATACCATTGCCATGAGGGGGTGCACCTGGTCTGCAATGATGTCAAATTAATGTCCACATAAAGGCCTGAACCCATAGTTTCCCAGCAGAACACCCAGGGCATCACACTCCCTCCACCAGCTTGTCTTCTGGTGCTGTCACCTCCCCAGTTAAACTACACAAACATACCTGACCATCCACAGACTTACTAGACAAGGCGCCTTCTTCTATTGGTCCAAGGTCCAGTTCAGACGCTCTCATTTCTATATGTGCTTTTGATGGTGGACAGGGATTAGCATGGGCACTCTGATTGGTATGTGGGTATTCAGCCTCATACGCTGTGTCATGACACATTAGTGCCATGACCAACATTACAAATTCTGCTGACTTGTGCCACAGTGGCCATTCTGTCAGTTTGGACTAGATGGGAAAGCCTTCATTGCCCTCTGAAATATTCCGTAGATGCTTTGACCCAGTCGTCTGGCCACAATGATTTGGCTCTTGTCAAAGTTAATCAAGTCTTCATGCTATTTCTTCTGCATCCAACACGTCTACTAAGAGAA